GACCGAGGATCACAGTTCATTTCAGGCCTTTGGTCTGCTGTTGCCGAATTATTGGGAACAAAAATTCATCACACTACAGCCTACCACCCACAGGCAAATGGTTTGGTAGAACGTTTTCATCGAACAATGAAATCTGCCATCAAGGCACGACTCAATGATTCAAACTGGTTGGACGTGCTTCCATGGGTTTTATTGGGAATCCGCACAGCTCCGAAAGAAGATCTTACGGCATCGTCAGCTGAGCTTGTTTATGGCGCTCCCCTCACTGTCCCCGGTGATTTCATATCAGACTCTAAAGACAATAGCTGCCCGACCACAAATCTTCGGCTTCTCAGAGAAAGAGTAGGATCATTGGCTCCAATTCCTACGTCGCACCATGGTCCTTTCAGAGCAAGAATGCCAGCCGCACTCAATCAAGCCAAGTTCGTGTTTATTCGTCGTGACGCACACCGATCTCCTTTACAAAGACCTTATGAAGGACCATTCGAAGTTTTGCAACATGGGAATAAAACTTTCAAAGTACAGATTGGAAACCGAAGCGAAACTATTTCTGTTGACAGGTTAAAGCCAGCTCATCTTGATCTCGACCATCCTGTTTCTGTATCCATTCCTAAACCAAGAGGACGTCCTCCAATCCCTAAAACAACAACGAACAATCAGCGTTCTACAGACGATCGTTCATCCGAACCTACAACCGGTTATGATTACAGAACCAAATTTGGTAGAAAAACTCGTAAACCCACTAGATTTTTATAACTCATTCCGTCTGGGGGGGTAGTGTGGCGAACCACTTTACTAATAATAGCCGTTATGAGTCACAATTGTTTTGTTTATGTTTTTGTCACGCATGATTACTTACGTGCTTTTCTTACGATAACTTGTCATTCTGTTTTCTGTTCGCTTGTCGTTAACATTGCTTTGTTATGGATTAAACATCAACATAATTGAAAGTCTTTTTCTTGTTAGAAAGAAGTTAATTCGCTTCACTCGGTTTTATGATATTAGAGTACGAAAAAAACGCATATGAATTACCAAAAACGTTTAGGATGATGCGTTAAATTATTTTACGGTTCTAGTGTTTGGAGGTAATTCCACTTTGATAGTGTTATAATTTTCGATCAGCTTCCAACCACATTAAGCCACTTTCACACTGCCCCATTGTAATATCAGATTTCTAGATTTTCATTCCAAGTCTGAAAGATTTTGTTTTCACAACGGCATTGTAGGCGAGAAACTAGTAAAATGCAAAGTAGCATCTAGTTCTCGTATAAGTATAACCCCTAAAACAGTCTGCAGATGCACTTCCAAAAAAGACAGGCGTTACGAGAAATGAACATATCAATTGCATTGTTATGTCATAAACGATGTCAGGCCCAATAGCTGAATAACGGTACACAGCGGTGCATACATGCGTACAAGATTAGGGGTTTTAAAAATGACCGTACCGGCCCGAAATCAACATTTTGAATATGAGCGATCGCAGCCCTCCCTGACTGTCCAACTGACGGTACATTATAATAGTTTAGTTATTGTTAGATTAATTTAAGGCCGGTTTTATCAATCTTTATCGCTGATATATTAGCATTTTATTTTATTCGTGCCTTCGCTTGGCGGGTCACAAATAAAACGCGGTGGGTCACTTTGTGACCCGCGGGTCAGTGGTTCGCCATCCCTGATCTATACCATCCAATTAGAAACAGGTTGACTATAAATCTTTTTTGAAATTAAAAAAAAAAAAATTTGAAATAATACCCAGAGAACGTTGATTTAAAATATTCAGCATGAATTCCTAACGTTTTTCACAACAACTCGAATATTTAGAATCTATAAGCAGAAAGCAGCATCTAAAAATGCTATAATGCAAAAGTACGCCCAAACCTGCGAAATTTTCGATGGAGTACACCGAGGTCAATCATTGTCAGGACCACAGAAACGCATATCTGTGCGAAACTACACATAGCTAAGATATATTATGAGTTGAAGTTTGAATATTTCCCGTGAAATAAAGTTATATTTACATTATTAATAGACTTGATGTTATAAATAACTTAATGATATACAAATGTTTCAGAGGACCTTCGTCGAACCCCTGGATCAGCTCTATCTAACCTCTATCGATTTGTGCATGACCTTATTACAGATCGGGCGATCGCGAGCTCTTTTGACAATTTTAGTCGATGGCCACCCCTGATATACGGTAATTGGGCGCTCCAGAAGTACGCGTACCAATATGAAGGGATTTAATTTTGTTCGCCTACTTTACATCAAGTTGTGTAAAGGAACTGATTACTATAGACAGGGGGTATATTTACTTGGCTAACACAGACAGTACCCGAACTCGTAATAAGAGAAATTCGAATAGAATTATGGCCTAACCCTAACCTGGTACAGATACTACGGGAGTACCGGTATTCGTGTATGATAGAGAAAAGTTGAATGCATTACTTAAATTTTCCTACAAAATATTTTGATCAAATTTCTCATGTTTAATTACAATGAACAAACTCGATAGAAGTACATAGCGTAATTTATATCAAGTGCGAAAAAGGAAAGAATATTTATTGGTTAACGCATGGTTAAAACCAGTAAAACAATTTACAGATTATGTTCTGTTACCATAATTATCATTCGCGAAACGACGCACAGATTGATCAGCTACGTGGAACTTGACCCGCCAACGATCGGTAATGAAAGCGGGACAAGAATGTTGCATGATTTTGTAAAAACGGCACAAATGACAGAGTGAATTGCTATTGCTTATATAACATTTAGTGATAAAATAGTTGAAACTGTATCATTTATTGTCACACCACGAAAGCAAGCCAATGATTACAGCCATGTCTAAAATCTTTCCAAGTGAAAAGTGTCCGAGTGGCCGCGGAAAAGCTTACTGCTGCGTCACTATTGCATCTTGTAGATTAGTAAACGCTACGCAAATAAACACGGGGGAATCCATTCGACTGACTAATATATTTCCGCATTTTAATTTCAAGTCAATGATTAGTTTTCAATAAAAATTTTCTTTGAAAGTAGTTAATTTTTAAAGCATTAACAAGATCCGCAGGAAAGGTTGTTGCGGCTCTCAAAACCTAGTTTAAGAATCACTGATCTGACCTATTCATGTAAATCTACGCACAACTTACGTCTGACATTTTCTGTTATCTGCATGTTCTTATTGTAAATGTCATAATTGTAATTTTGTAGCAGTTTGATACCTTATTAACGGTACACAAATGCTCTTGTCGTAAAAATTTATTAAATTTGTTTGGTTTCATTCCAAGAAGCATAGAATGTTTTCAGAAATTCACGATCAGATTCGGTACAAAACGCAGAGTTCAAAACATATACAAACTACAAGGAATTTTGGGCAGCACTACTAGAAGTTCCCGAGTATCGCAATCTTGCACAGAAAGCTGTCACCATTCTCGTCTGAATGCCTACAACCGTGGTACTCAAAGTGGGCGTCGTCAAGCGGGCTATTTTCCACCGCCCGTGAAATGGTGGTTCGCACTTCACTTGACTTATTACTTATCGATTTTAATCGGTAAGTATGTTGATAGGTATTTGTCTGTATGTCTGTTAGATGCACGCGATATCTAACGAAAGCAAGATGGAATCTGCTCCAGATTTTGCATGTGCATTCATCATATGTCGGACCAGAAGCCTATTGATTTTGGATGAATTAGGTCGTATAATTAGGGAGTTATTAATTAATTAGTGATGGGACACAAGGTGTCACCATGGAGTATGAGCGCTGTTTTGGGGATCCCCTAACTTTCGATCGATCAGTCTTCGGTCTCTGACCGATATTCTCGTTTTATAGTTGAGAATTATATTGAATTTAGTTCACATGAGCTTTATGACCTCGCTATAGCAGAAAAGTTCACTGCTTCTCATCGCTGATGTACAGAAGTTTCACTTTCCGCGAAGTGTATCTTTTGTGACAACCCGTATTTTTATCTATAAAGGCTGTTATTTGTTATTACTGCTATATTTTGTATTTTAATGTTCGGGACACTGATGGCATATTTTGACACCAGACATCAAATCCATTCTTGCTCCGTGTGCCTAACATTTCTATAGCTTGGTATGACGTCAGTTATAGCCAAGATATGACACAGAAACTTAGTACACAAAAGAGCAATGAAAAACTGTAGAAAATGTCTCTTATTCAACACGGAGTGTTGAGTAAACTATTGCTATTGGTGATAATCTTGGATATCACAAATGACGCCTCTTTCTTTATTAAGATTTCCTGAGAACATTTATATTGGATGATCACTAACCTCACCCCGACTGTGTAATATCCAAAGTAACTATGGGTAATATCCAAATTGTCAAATGAGCACTATAGCTATTTAAAGATGGGTCGAGTCAGGGATTCGACAAACCCGAGTAGTGGACACATTTCGAAATTATGTTGCAACAATGCGAGCTCATCTTCTTGTCAAACGGTGCCACAGGTAGCGGTTGAACTATTTTAGCTCATGCTTTTTGATATTTTACTCTTGTTTTGGCCACAATACGGAATCGAGTGGCAGGCGATGTACAACATGATTGATAGCTTGTTTCTTTCCACTACTTCGAGTGACTACAGACGGCGCAGTAGTTCCGCCGTTACGCAACCGTTCGGAGCCAGAAAGCGTCGTCAAATTTGACGATCACATTGTTTTTACTAGATATTGTTTGTATAGAGATCCATTGAGTGAGCATTATGCGCTTCACAAGTGAACATAATATTATTTACCAATGTAGCTCATGATGTGACTCCTGTCTCCTGTGCATTTGATGTTTTTTGTGACGACGAATAAATGATTGATTGTGACAAAAAGTCATTGTCGTACAAGCAACAAGGGGTGTTGGGGATCAGTAATAGAAGAAATGACAAACAGAGTTAAGCAACTTCGTTTTAACCTAAATTGTCAATACTTCTGTCGATCTCTACTGTGCTAAGATTGATAGATTTTCGATATAGACAAATAGTATTTGTAATGAATTACCTTAAGCCGACAAGAGCTGTTACTTCGTTTGGCGGTGTGTATAAAATGTCTTCATTTTCGGGCCTTCCTTGATTTTCAGTGCTTTGCACGACTTGTAAGGTCGATGTTATATTGCTTCCATTTTCTACAGTCATTTTCAATAGTGCTAACTATTCACACCTTCTTTGATAATTGCTAGAATTTTATGATTCTAAGATATATAAAATATTTGAAATTGAATACTTAATATATATTGCTACTTAAATACCAACTGAAGTTTAATATATTACATTTTGACATTGTACAAAAAGAATAGCAGATGTGTATTTGGAAGCATCAAATGAAATTTAATTACATGATTAAAATTATAATAGTCCACAGAGACTTTCAGTTTTCTGGGATTTGCTAAAAATATTTGAAGATTCTAACACATATTTAACCAGAGGCCTAATATTATGTTATTATATTTTTGTCTGACATAATAATGAACTTCCAATTCTTTTTCAATGACTGAATAGTTACATTCCATTCAGTTCATATTCTAAAATCGAAACAATACATTTTATATATGCAGATAAGGCTTGAAACTTACAGTCGAATTCTTCTTGTGCTTTAGCTCGTATTTTTGTTCTTGAACTGACAGTGAATTTTCTAATACTATTATTTTGACATTTGATGGCTTCTGAATCATATTCACTGTTCCTGATCTGATTGATGTAAGCAACACATTATATAGTCTATCTATTATATTTTGGACTATTCTAACCTTGATAATGTTCCAACATAAATAAAAGTAAAAGCCCAATGCCTTGTACCGTCTTGTGATGCTCTATTCAAGTTACGATATCGAACTCAGGCTCTTGTTCTGTGCGTAGGAGAATTGCCAGACTAAATGAGATGATCTCTGCTCTAAAATGCTTTATGTGTCTGGAAAGATTTTGTGTATATTTTGTCTATGATCATTCCACGAGAATAGGCATCATAGCTTTTCAATTCCGTGGCCCCAAATCATCATTGTCATTATATATCAATATGAACATAAATTCCGTGATAATTTATTGCATGAAAAAGGAAGTTCTCAAGTATTTGTATGAGATAAGCTCTCTCGTATGAAAAAGTCGTGATTCATATAGTAAACATTTTGCAACAACACATTTGGGCATGTATTGTGCTGTGTATAAGTGTACGACAATGCTTTAAATATTCTTATCGTGGCTAATTATTGTCAAACGCTAAAATACAAGTTGAAACTTTCACATCTATGTGTTTCAGGCAGAATAATTCATTTTTTAAATGTGTGACTTCATCATGCGTGTCCTCTCTTACATTTTTACTAGACAACCCCATCAGCTCCAAATCGGACTCTTTGATTGCAGAAAATATATTAATAAAACGTATTCTCTTAGATTGGTAGTATGAGCCAATTTTCTTGATTGATGTTCGAGTTAGCATCAAAAACATATATATTTGTGGCTGTATCGATTGAAATTTTGCCACTCCGGAATGTATGCTGCCAGTATGTTCCGCAGCTTTTTATTTTAGAGGGGGGGGGGGGGGGGTTGGTGTTTTGAAATTTAGGAGGGGGTAAATATTTTTGCTATTAGCGATAAAACTATTTGTAACTTAAAAAAAATTTGTTATGTATTTGACAAACGATCTAGATCAGGGGTTTCCAAACTCGATTGACCGCGGAAATCACTGTATGCTGCGGTATGTACAGCGTCATATTGCCGGAAACGTTCTGTCACTATAGCAAACAATTGGCACACCCCATCTTTCAAGGACTAATAACGTCAATGTGTTAGATTTATGTCACCTCATTCAGTGGTCTCAACCTTTTTAGCTTGCGGACCAGTAAAATTTCAAAACTGATTTTGCGGACTGGTAAACCTTCAAAGTTTTTTCTCACGTAAGTAAATAAGTATGGAAAGTCAAGTCCAAAACTGTGACAATGGCAAGTCTTCATGCCTCGACATCAACGTGGTACCGCAGGAAAGCTCAACTGGTCTGTGATGTTATTCTTAGTAGACACAACGAAACATTCAGGACTTGGAATGGGCGCAGTACTTTTAACCAAGTTTGATTTACGCATCAATTGGAGTTAAAATTACAAAATGAGCAGGCCGTCAGTACCTTGCATTATGCAAATGAAATATAATATTGGAATATATTTGATGGACTGGCGGTTGAGAACCACTGTGTGTACACTTATGTGTACCTTAGTCACTGACCCTTAGTCATTTTGAACGCAATATATTCTAAAATTCAAATTGATTCAAAATATTCCGTATTGCAACGCACAACGGTCACAAGGTGGGAAACCAAATCTAGGGCAATTTGCAGATAAACGACTCCTAAATGATTGTTTAACTATATTATGTCAGTATGAATCGAATATACTTCTGATATGAACACGTGCGTTTCATTCACAGATTGGAAGTATTTGATTTTTGAATGATCTAACTCTGGATAAGATGGCGTGAATTGGGCGGTAATTTACACGCCCAATGACGTGAACAACCAATGTATCACGTGTACGAAAGATATACTCCAATGTATGAGTTCACGTGAGTGGTGAATACGTTACGAATTAATACTGCACGTAAAAGATGAATAACACAGTCCGGAGGAAAAATAAATATATATATATTATAATATGTATGTAGTCACAAGATTTATGCTGAGGTAAATACTCATATATTATCAACAACTTACTCTTATCAAATTACAACTAGCTATATGATCCCGTTATTCTGGACTGTCATTTGCACAGAGATATACGAAATAATATCGGAAGATATGCTGACGAACCAATCCTGTAAGTAAACGAAACTTTTCCAGTACTGATTGGATTTATCTAAAAAATGAAGCGATAACATTTTCAATTCCAAATTCATTGAGACATTTTGGATTGTGAGAGGTTCATTACTGGTTTCGGTTTCAAGATAGAATACTGTTTGTTGGAAAACTAATCTAAACAATTCCGCTCCGTGAGAATACTCCTATTATGAAATAATAACCAGTACTTTTTGAAAATTTCAGCAATTCAATATCATAATAATAAAATAATACTTAGCAGCACAAAATATAAACATACATTTCTTTTTTACAATGAGATCTTATCCTTTTGGCCGGGTGGTTATGTCTTTTTAATCTTAATCCCCAGTTAATATTGCAGTCACAAGGTAGCAGCAGGGCGTCATTCATACCTTTGTACAATTTGCAAATGATTTTCCGTTGTGTAATTTTTTTGGAAGCTCGAACTAGCTTCCTGTTGTGAAATATTTGACTCATTTCCTATCGCTATGTAATGGCGTGATGTGGTTCTTAATTTTCTGTTTCCACTGCGTTATTCATCTTCGACATCATTCGACCATATGGGATTGTTTGTTCGTTCCGACAACGTCTGGGTATAACCTTGCAAGTACGGGCGATACCTTTGCGATGATTTTTGTCGGCCTTGTATGGGGCCTTGCATGGGACGAGGTTCAAAAGATCATGCAAGTCGGGCCCCATCTTGCTGAGTAAACGACTCGATAATTTGTTTTAAATATTCCAATACACTTTCCTGGTCTTCATCTTCATTAAAAAATACTCTCACGTTTGTCGATTCCCAAGATCGCCGACTCAGATTATACTCTAGCAGATTTTACTCGACCATGCCCTAAATTTCGCAGTTGCTCGTTGCAATTACCAGCCATTATGTAGCCATACATGTTCTTTTTTAATTTCTTTAGGCGGTTTTCCGCGTCGATGTCCCATGGTATTGGGTTGCTTGTATCGGTAACCGAAACAGGATTGTTGATAGTCGTTATAACTCTATTTTTTTCGTATAATCCGTGTTCAAAGTCGAGTGCACGCTGCCTCGCTTCGGGTAGGCTGTGTACGAATGTTTTTTTTACAAAAGGTTCTATCATCGAGTTTTCCTTGTCCTTATTTGTCGATTCAATTATTATAAGATTAGCTGGGGTGATAGCATCTCGACAGCTAAATTCGCCCTCCTTTGTCTGTTTGCCGATTTCTCTCATTTCGTCACCGGAGTCGTCACTGGGAATTGCCTGCTTGCATCGTCACCAATATTTTTTGTTTCCACATACTCTACGTCTTCCATCGGCACCCCGTCAATTTCACTGTCAGTTAAATCTTCTCCACTGTCAGTTAGTTCGACAGTCAGTTCGTCTTCACCTTTTATCGATTGTGGAGAAATACTGTATAGTGAAGAATACGTTGGACTCGATATTTCCTTATATTCTTCCCCTGTACCCTACTACCCTCTACACTTGGCTTGTTCGCCTGATCAGCAGTTCCTGTGGCCTTTTTATCAGCGATCCTAGGGTCACGATCCGACACATATCTAATTGTGGACGTTCCTTCTTCGTTTTGTATGATGACATTTTTTTTTTTCTTGAATAGCCTCTATAATTTGGCCCGAGTTGAATAAAAATTTGGCTGCTTCATTCATTTCCATGATGCATGTATTTTGCTTGACCAAGAATGATATGTGCTGTCGCTCTTCGTCGGTTCTCCAGGGATCTTTAGTAATTAGTAGTCTTTTTCCTGAATTTTTTCTTTCATAGTAAGATCAAAGTTCTCAATGGCGTTCGTATTTATTATTTCCTCATTAACATACATTGGAGTCAGACTATGGTTTACCGTGCGATGGGTGTAGCCTGTTCCCATTCTTTCTATACCTCGATAGGATGTAAAACAATTACTCCAAATTTCTGACCTAGGTGCAATATTGGCTTTTATTAAAACCTCTATTGTGGTTTTAGTAAGACCGGATTCTGGTACCAATTGCATATATTTTTCTCATGTTTGTAAACATATACCCCAAAAAATCCATATGGGTTTAATGCATTCTGCGGTTCTGTTACCAAGGGTTTTTGTTTGGCTATTAGAGTTTCATCGACGCAAATTATTTTGTCCGGCCCGCCTATCTTTTTTAAATCTCGGATCAATTCCATCGATCATATTTCTCGTACAAAATGTAGCCAATCCATGACTATACGCGGGCTTACGTCTACCTCATATGCTATTTGTCTTTGTGGTATATCAAGGGCCCAATAATATAATAGTATATCCAGGTTTATTAAGTCGATTTTGCTACTTTCGAAAACGAATTCTTTCTAATAGTTGCAGAGTTTCGGTAAATACTTTTTCTGCTCCGGAACCTTACTCCATCAAGCTTGTTTGCTCTATTTATTTCCTCAATCATGGTGGTCCCGCACCTTGGGCAATTCATTCGTTGAGCGAGCAATCGGTGTTCCCGTAAAAAATTGTAAAAAAATTGCACGGGTCACGTGACTTTGTTTAACTGGACGGCAAAAACAAAAACGTCCAGTTCGACCCTGTCAGTTGGATTATACGTATTCGTTTTTCTTGGCTGTTGAAAATGGTTATTTCGTACTGTGCCGTTGGCTGTACGAACTTACGAAATAGATCTTTAGTTATATTTCACTTTTTTCAAAAGATCCGTAACGTCGCGCGATTTGGATATCATCTATTGGCAGGACTGCTTGGTGGCATCTCATCACCCTGGTAGTTTCACAGGTTCCAATCCCACGCTGGGATAGTTATGTGCGAAAGGATTGCAGCTCTCCCCCCACTGAGGGTGGTTCACACGACCACTGGTCGGTTACGACATCCCCCACCATCAATTCCATGCTTATAAAAAAAAACTGGCTAACTAATCCCGACATAGAATGGTAATTGTACGAAGGACTG